ATTCATCATTAATTAAAAATTACAAAATTTAAATACAAAATTTATTTATTGTTTTTATTAATTTATATTAGTGATATATTACTAACAAATTAATTAATTGATAAGAATAATTCATTATTTTATTAATATTAAAATTTAAAAAATTAATAATTTTGTTCATTAATAACTAAATGAATTATTTTATTACTATTTTTAATAATTCATAATATTAGTTTTATTAAATAATAGTATTACTGAACATTGTTGTTAATAACAATAATATTTTTATAAATTAATAATTATAAAATTTATTAATTCATAATTAAGAATTATTACTATTTTTTGTGAATAATTGAAAAATGCCATAAAATATTATTGTTTTTATTAATTAATATACTCTTAATAACCATGAATTAAAAGTACTCCTATTAATTACTAGCGGGGCCCATGCAATGCACCGGTTTTATTAAAAGAATTAGAGGCAAAGGGAGCTAAGGGTGTAGCTTAAGTTGGGTGGGCCTAACTGAAGCCTAACCCGATTCAACCAATGCTTTTGCACAAGTTGTGCTTGAGTTTTCAAACTTCAAAGTTGAAACTGAGTTTAGGCCAAAAAACTAAGGCTAGCCTAAACTCAAGTTGGGCTTCAATTAAATTCTTGGGTAGTTCTAGTTTGACCTAACCCAATTTTGCCCACACTAACATTTTATTATATATATATCTACATATTATCAATATGTTCTACTTGGAAATTGGGCTATAAAGCTCAATAAGCTTATGTTAAAGTCCAGCCCAAGATGCTTGATGTATGCGCAAATTACACAACATTTCTATTGTTTTATGCATGGTTTTGATGATAATTTGCATGATTTCTCACCCTAATTGAGAATGATTTCAGGAATTCAAGAGTGTGAACCAACTTAGGGGGAAGATAGCATAAAAACCATGTTGAGAGGGCAAATGTGGAAGCAATTCGGCCCATCTAGAAGACAGGCCCAGCCGAGATTCATAAGTAGGGAACTTTCGGCCCATAAAGAAGCAAAGCCCCATGGGAGACACCAAGAAGAGAGCCCAACCGAGACTCTCCAAATGAGACCTTTTGGCCCACCAAGTGGGAGGCCCAAGTGTAGCCCAAGTTGCAGCCCAAGGGGTCCTAAAGGCTGCTACAGTTTAGAAGAGAGAGGGCTGAAGAGAAAAGTATAAAAAGGAGAAGAGAAAGGGGAGAAAAGGGTTCGAACCCCCAAAAGGAGAAAGGAGAGAAGAGAGGCGCGAGAAAGGAGAAAAGAGAAGATTTAGAGGAAGAAGAAGGTTGCTGAATGCGAATTGGAGGAGAATCACATCCAATAAATTGAAGATTGAAGCAGAATTCTAGGTTGTCTTCTTCTTTGGTTCAGCGCAATTGGTAACTGAATTCAGCTAGGGTTTCATGCAATTTTGTCAATTAATTTCTCTTTCTTGCTAGAATTCGAACCATGATTGATGATGCTTCAGATCTGTAATTATTTCTCTAGGGTTATTCGATTGATTGGATTCATTCTTGGTGTTTCTTGGTTAGGGTTTTAATTGTTAGAACAGTTTTGGTCAAATTGTTCTTGATTCTTGGATTGTCTGAATTACTTGAAAAAGAATTTAGGTAATTAGATCTGCTAATCAAGAACCGAATCTAACACATCTTAGAGATAATTTGTGTGATTCGGTTGGTGTTCATTCAAATCTGAATTGATGCCCTTCGAATTGTTTGTTCTTAATGCATCCATGGGGATTAAATTCTTGATAGAGATATAAGAATTGTCACCCATTGATAGGATGAGTTGTGCTTGAGAGAGGCTGCTCATTGCCATCAGGGTTTCACCAAACCATGGCTGAATCCCAATTCAATTGAATAACTTCACGAATTAATTGCTAGATCGAATTTGTTAGTGTTCTTATACAACCTTGCTTTTCTCTACATGAAGGTGGTTTGATCCGAATTGATTAGGATAGTTTGCTAGTTAGGAATTCAGATTTTGATTAGGTTAAGAATTCGGTTTATCAAATAACAATTGACTGATTTATTACTAGTAGTTGTTGGATAAATCCTCGTGGGAACGATACTCTATTCATCACTTTATTACTTGATCGGCTAGTGCACTTGCTAATGTAAGCAATACGAATCAATGATACGTTAAGCTTAGGTTAGGTCTGAGTTGGTAAACTCTGGCATATTAGTAAATTATCTGTAATTATTGAAAAATACCAGTATTTTTTTCTCTTACCAACCAATCCCTAACCCGAGCTTTAACCCAATGTTTTGATCTGGGCTTGGGATTAGACATGTTGAGCTTTGTAGCCCAATTTCTATGTAGAATATTTTGATAATATATACATATATATATCACAAAATGTTGGCTAAGTTCAAATTGATTGAATCAGGATCAGACTATCTAAGGCCTCAACTCAAGCTTAATCTGAATTTAGGTTAGACTTGAGCTTTTTTGGCATAAGCCCAACTTGAAGTTTGAAAATTCAAACCCAACCTATGCTAAATCTTTGATTGAATTGGATTGAGCTCAGGTTAAATGTACTCAAGCTGCACCCGTAATTCCTTTTGCCTCCAATTCTTTTAACAAAATCCATACATTTTACGTGTGTGTATATATAACCATATTTCTGACTATAATATTACACACCCTCTAAGTGGTTGAACCCAATTAGTGAATAAGTTTTGTAGGATTTTAAAGGCTCTAGTTCTAGGAAATTTTATAAATTATGCATCTTAAAATATGCTTTTGTTTAATTATTTTATCCACTATAAAACAAAATAACAAATCATTCAATTGATTTCAAAATCATTCATTTTCTACGACGGCTACTCGTTTGACAGCGAAGGCCCACCGTGGTCCGTGGGATGTCAAAATCATTCACTGCAAGACTTGAAGAAGTCAATGATGCCTTCCACGGTTTCCCCTTGTCACGTACACAATCAAAGGAGTTTTAATCGGTTAAGCATGGTCCCATTTCGTCACACCACAAGTGGAAGATTTTCTTATCTAAATGGTTTTTATTTTATATTGTTAAAAAATAAACAATTTAGTGGAAATTTTCAGTGTAATTTATCAATGGTTTATATTAATAGTTCGATCAAAGTCCAACTTGACCTTGCTTAATATTCTGGGAGAATGACCGAACAGCCTGGGTCAGAATTTGTAGGCCCTAACTACAGTTGGGGTGGATGGCAGTTTTGAATTCATGTTAATTCATAGGCGGATATTGTTGTATAGAGTGGGGGTTTTTAGCTTTTGAATGTTTATAATTCTATAGTAGAAATCAGAAATTTACATTGGGCTTATCTGTATTTTTCCCTAATATTTTCAGTTTAATATTCATAGTATCTCTTCTTCTTTCAGTTTATTTACATTTTCTCTTATCTATCTTAATTGTTAATTCTTGTTGATTTGTGTTTGGGTTATGGTTGAGCTAGCTCTGGACACCGCGTGGTGCCTACATGGCCGCCTTATCTCTTCGGCCACGTTAGTGCCACATCATATCCATGGCTCACCTCATCTCTTCGGCCATGTCAATACCGCGTCACTTCTGCTGCCCAGCTTATATGTCCAGCCACGTCGACTCCACGTCATGTGGATAAGCACAATCAAGACAGGAGAGTGGATGAAGATAATCCCGCTGGGGATTAGGTCTTATCTCGAAGACCTCGGAGGTTAATCTCATCCCGACAACCCCGGAAGCCTCATTCGACCAGGACATGAATCATTGGCTATAAAAAGGCTCCTCCCGCTCAAGGTAAATGATCCAATTCTCAACTTCCATAAAACTACTATTGCTTGGACCAACACTGATCTCCAACTGCTCGGCCTGATTCTCCTTGCTTTCTACTGACTTGAGCGTCGGAGTGTCCACCCGAGGATAACTCCTCAGGTCTCTGATTCTTTTCTTGATTTCAGATCTTGGAGCGTGGTTTCGTTCTTCCACTTCGGCTTCGCCCAATTGACAAGGATTATCTAACTGCGACCTCGATTCTTGCACCACCTAGGATCGAGTAGCATCAATTTGAATTACGGGAAATTCTCTTAATTTGAGGAATCGTGATCTCTCTCAATGTTCTCCATTATTTTGTAACAAAATGAACAACCCTTTCCCATAAATTCTTTGTTGTTTGAACTTGAGCCAAAGAATGCTGGTGATCATCAAAATCATTCTCTTGATTTAATTACGATGTTCTAATCAAATCATCAATTTATACGCCAAACAATCTTAATTAAATTGAAAATTCTCTATTATGTAAATAAAAAAATAATTGCTTCTTCTGACTTTCTCTCCTCAACTGGTTATCAGAAATAGGGGTATCAGCTGGTATTTAAAAGAAAAGATGCCAATTACTTCATATGTAGAAATTAAAATGGATATTTTATTTTCTTGGGGTCCTTGATTTCAGAACTAAGGCCCCATTCACTTTTCGGTAAATTACTTACCCGGGTAAATGCAATTACTTACCTAGGAAGCACATACCCAAATAAGAGCATTTACCCATGTTCTTTTATTTCTCAGGTAAATAAGGCAATGACCATTTTATCCATAGAAATTTATTATTAAAAGGGGTATTTTTGTCTCATTCAAGTATTGACAACTTTTCTCCTATGGGGAAAAGTTATTTACCCATTTAGAACATGGGTATTACTTTCTTGGGTAAGTGGTACTTAAAAAAATAAACTTTCCTTTATCCCCACATAACGTTGAAAAAGAACATGGGGTTCTTGGTCAATAAAAATCAAAATTCCATTCACCAACTTTCCCCTCTCAAAATCTAAAAAAAGAACACCCCCTGAATATTAATTAATAAATTTTTGCCATTTGACATAAAAAATAAAATAAAAACAAAATTTACTTCATTTTTATGCTTTTCAATTTTGGTGTCGGGTGATAATAGAAAAAGCATCTTTCTCTATCTCCACATATGGACACACGGTCGAGCATGATCTATAAATAGGGGTTGGAGCGAAAGATAGATAACACATTGAATTGAAGTAACAAAATGAAGTCCATTGTCCTAGTTTGTGTCCTTCTGATTTCAGTTCTTTTCCCCCCAACAGAAGTAGGGGCTCGGCTATTTGTCGAGAAGTCTCTACTAGGTATGTATTTACACCATATCATTTTCCTTGTATTTCATATTAATTATGTGTTAATTATGTGTTTAAGCTTTGCTATTAATTGGCGAAATATTTGATATGCTTATCATAGGGCTGCAAATAAGTGGGATCCGAATTCGATCCAATAAGATACAGATTTACATTTACATACCTCCCTTGATCCCGGATATTTTCATATCTGATACAATACTCTCGATTAATTATGTGTTATTATACTCTTGAAAATCTAACAGATTCTTATGGGATTTAGATCGATCAGATCAGATATTCTTTCCACCGAATCCGGTTCAATCCATTTACAGCCCTAGCTTTCATATAAAAAAAAAGGAAAAAAGAACAATTGATGTGAGAGAATTTGTTTCGCCCACAAAAAATTTAGAAGCCTTTCTCTTCCAATTCTCTAGTGAAAAAAGAGTCATCTCTGTGAGATTACCTTCAACAATTACATATATAATCATCTTTTTTTATTAATCTGTTCTTGTTTTATTCATGTTGTATGCTACAGAAATGGCTGTTAAGTCCGTAACCGTTCATCCTGCTCGTCCAGTTTGTGGCAAAGGAAATAGACCGTACACGTCTTGCATCCCTCCTAGAAACAAGCCTCCCAAGTGTAGATCCATATATGGTTGCAGATCATCAACACCTCCCTCCCCTTAAAATGACTATTATGTAGCTTATGCCTTATGGTCTCAATTCACCTATGATCAGATGTATTGGAGAAGTGGTTGGTTTAATGATGTAAGCTAGTTAAGCTGGTATATAGTATGTATCAGTACATTGTACAAAGAATAAAGGATCAAAAGTAGGTAGATTTTGTGTTTTATTTCTCTCCTCTAGATCTCCTCCCTTTTTGCCTTTCAAATTATCAACAACAGTGAAGTTTATGTATTACTCCTTGTTATATTAATCCTCTTGGAAGTTTATTTTTAATGTTTTATGTGCAACAAACGATCTTGATTGTGGTCAATGTTATCATAAAATACATAACAATACTGATTGTAAGGGGGTATCTTTTTTCTGGATTTTGAATCAAGGATGCATGAGTTGCACAAGGAAAACTCCTGGGATTTTGAATCAAGGATGAATAAGGAAAACTCCTATATAATTACCAAATTAGAATTCAGGAAGCTTTGTAGCCAAAAACTTCAGAAATCTTATCTAGATTTCACAAAATTGGTGGACCCATGAGTTGCATATTCGTCAAGTATGCACCCTTATTTTCCAGATTTTACAATTTTACAAGTAGAAACTCATCATTTATCTCTTTGTATTTGTTTGTTCTGTAGAAAAGGACGCTTTCATAGTTCCATTAGTTTTATTCCTAAAACTCCACCTATCTTTTGTAGCAAGGATGGTAGTTGGAATTCGATAAACCATACTATTGACTGAATTTGTAATCCATATATTGATACACACACATAATCTTCCTTACCCTTTTCTCTAATTTAGGGGTGATCATTTCAGTCCGGTCTGAAAATTTCAGGTTTGGGTCTAGGTTTTTTGTGTTTAGGCCTGGTTCAGGTTTGGACCTACATCAGGCCTATAAATTTTAGGGTTGGGTTTGGGTTTAATACTTCAAGCCTGGCTTAGCCCGTATATATTTAAAATAATATATTATAACATGACATGTATAATTTATATTATATGTAATATTTTATATTATATAATGTATAAAATAAGTTTTTTGGCATGTTATATCATTTAACATAAAATATTACAGATATGTAATGTTTTTTATATGAGTGACATTGGCCCAAAATCAGTCCCAGCCTAGCTTGGGCCCATATACACCTGCGATAAGGCTTACGTTTCAGGCCCAGAACCCCAGGCCAGATTGGGCTCAGGACTAAGCTATAACCCTTATCATAAGTGCAAAGGCTGGCCCAGCCCAACCCATGATCACCCCTACTCTCATCCCTCCCAAGTCCCAACAGTGACTGAATTTATCAACTCCATCAATAGTGAAGGTTGTGTGTGCAAAACCTGTACCGGACTGAACGATTGAACCATTGAGCCCATGAAATTTTCTAAATCTCAGTGATTTGACAGTTAATTTTTTCAGGCTTTGAATGATCTAGCCATCTCATTTGATTGGAAAAGCTGTAACACAATTAGCATTCCATATTTTTATCTTGTTGACAATATTTTGGAAAATGTGGAGAAATGCTGATGAAATCCGGAGAGATTGAAAATCAAACTGATCAGGACCATTGTAAATATTATTAATGACGTGAACGCCAAGATTGAACTAGAGGGACCTTGTTCCATGTTACATGTCACCCATAGTTGATGATTGAGGTAATTTCCCTACTAGACTCAATTATATGCTATCATTCCAACATATGAAGCCCCAATTAATATTATAATGTCAACAAGATCCTATCCAATATGGGTCCATAGGGTTTTAGGGGTGTAAATTGGACGGGCTTGAGATGTAAGTTTGCAGAATTTGAATGGACCTGGCACAAAAGCCCAAGCCCAACAAAGAGTAAATCCTTTAAATTGGGTACCTAGCTAGCACAAGATAAGAATGGAAAAAGTACATCCATTGACTGTGACTGCCCAATAAGCCAAGAGTTGGAATTTGATATTTAATAAGCAGCATTAGGCCACCCACCTGAGTGGTTGTAGATCCATGAGAAATGTTTTGGCTTCTTTCAATGGTGGATTACGTCTTCCATCTCCAAAAATATCTTCAACTTGAACTGTCATAAAATGGGCTGCTAAGCCTTATTTGCCAAATGCTGATGGCTAACGGTGTTCCCCTCCCTCCTTCCATGAAAGAGAACACGAAAAACTGTAGAAAGTGGGAAATCTAGCCACCCAAACTAGGCTTACCCTTTCCAAAGAGTGGCCCCAAAATGTATGATCTTGACATTTTGACTATAGGCACTACAAAGGGTTCTATCAGTTAGATCCCTCAATTCTAGTTCAGACTTTAGAGTGTGTTTGGTATTTATCTATTGTCTGTCATGTTTAAATAATTATCTACTTCAATATATGTGTATAAATGAACAAAAAATCAAGGTTATTAGTGTATTGATGTAGGAAAATCAATGCAAAAAATTTTATTAAAATTTGCCATAAATTAGATTAAAATTTGCCATGAAGAAACAATGAATTGGGACATGAATAAATAGCTTACCCCCCTAAAAAGTCTATAGGAGAACTGGGTCCAACTCACCTAGAGAGAAATCATAATAGAAGTAGCATATCCTAACCTAAGGGAGACAAAGAAAGTCATTTTGATAGTCCGGTTTTGTAGCCCCTTAAAAGAATGAATTTGGTCCTAATTTCACAAGAAAGATGGGTGGTTGAATGAAAAGTAAGCCTACTGTTGAAGTCACAAACCCAATTAACTAGAGAATCTGCAAACGTGTGCAGTAATGAAGATTACAGTGATGACATATCCACTTTATTTTGAAAGCCAAAGGGAATAAAATTTATCTCATAAAACAGGTTACATCTCATCTAGAGTGATAGACCTGACGAAAACCGGAGGATTCGACGTTTTGGAAATCGAACCGGTGACTGAACAGATCAGGGTTTCGGTTACCGGTTCGAACAGCACAACCGTTTGACCCTAACGGCTGGCTTGTTCTAATAAAAAAAATAACAAATTTGAAAAACAGTCAAAACGGTTTGAATGGTTCGGCTGATTCGAACGGTTAATCGGCCGGTTCAGCGGTTTACTAACCAAAATCAACTGTTTTGGGGAAAAAAATGGAACTGGTTAGCTGATCGATTCCCGGTTTTTCTGATCCGATCATCCGGTCCGGTCCAGTTTTAAAACCATGGGTTATAGCATGATTGTATCTAAAAGCATGATTAGCTAGCCCGAGGGTTAAGCGATTACAAGAGCGAGATGTATGAATAATATGGGTTGAAACAAAATAAGAAGCAAGATGTCTACATTCTAGAATGGTCTAATGTAATCTCCAAGGAGAGTCTGCACCCGAAGAGAGAATGTCAATAATGTGCTTTGCATCACTTTTGAAGATGAGAGCATCGATGTCCATTGCAATTGCACATCTTAGACCTTCCAAAATTGGTAAGGCTTCAGCTTCTGCAGGGTAAGAACATTGGAGGGGAGCACATCTTTGCAGAATGAAATCTCCATTGTGATCTCTGATAACAATTCCTAATGCCAAGTGAGAAACACTCCACGCGCCATTCGTATCAATTTTTAGGACTCCGGTTGGAGGTTTGATCCACCCCTAAAATGGCTGAGGACCTGTGCTGATATGAGAGTGAACATTATTAGTGTTTGAATATGAAATAGTAGCTCTGGAAAATAAGGCACAATGAGGTCCAATGACTGCAAGGGACTGAATTGTTTTAATAGGGTGTTGTTCAAAAGTCACTTTGTTTCTCTACTTCCAAATGAACCACATTACAAATTATCCCTCCAGCAAGACATTGGAATGCAAGAATTCAACATATGGACCCATATTGGAGCAATGCTGAGGGAACGTGTCCAAGCATACTTAGAAGCCCTAGAAATGGATCCATCGTCATTTTCCATGCTATCTCGTTAGAAAAATTAATGCACTTCACTACTGCAACCCAGTTGCAGATTCTCTAGCTTATTATGCTACGACTTCTATGGTAAGTATATTTTTGATTCATCCACCCAATTTCCTGGGGAATTAGGATCAAACTGTTCAATGACTTTCTTTCTCCTTTAACTAAACAATGCTAAATACTTTTATTATGATTCTTTCTTGGTGAATTGGAGGTATGTATTATGGGCAAGCTTCACTATTGTATAGATGAGGCTCAGTTTGGATGGAGTTCAAATACAAATAAAGATATCAATGGACCAGTTTTGAACAGTTCAAAATTAATTTGAACAGATTGGATGGATCAACAAGACATTGGGTTGAACCAATCTGGTGCAAAGTAAATATTAAATTGGATTGAACCTGATTTATCCATAATAAATTTATATGAATTAGAGTTGGATTAAGCCAATGTCTGATCCATTGATATAGGATAAGAATATAGGTATCAATAGGCCGGATTTAAGTGAAAACCAATCTAAACTAAAATGAATTCGAAAGATGCCATTGCCATCAAGTAGGTGGCCCAAACATCCGCTAACGGAAGACGTGATCCACCATTAATGAAAGATGCCAAAACATTTCTAATAGGTCTATAGCCATTCAAGTGGGTGGAAAAAATTCTTTAGGCCGTCATAACTGACCAACGGACTCGAACAATTGAGCCTGTAGTTGTTTGACTTGGAGTCAATGATATATTTTAGTTGTCAAATTTCATCTCTTGACTTGGGCTTAGGCTTTTTGTGCCGGATTCACTATCAAACTTTAAAAAATTCACAACTCAAGCCCGCCTATGGACCCATATTTGATCGGATTATAATCAAATCCAATTTGTTGGTCTAGTCGTATTAATTGGGGCTTCATATTTTGGAATGATTGCATAATTAAGTCAATTAAGAAAATTAACTGAATCACTATTTCGAATGTCAAAAAACTGAACCACTATTTATAATTAACTGAATCACTATTAAGTCAACTCAAATGCACCATCCAGAGGTAAACAATTTTCCCACTTAAGGGGAAAGTTGCCAACATTTGAATGGGATAAAAATTTCCCATTTAATAATGAATTTTTATGAATAAATTGGTCATTATCTTATTTACATGAGAAATAAAAGAACATTGATCTGTTAATGTTCTTGCTTGGTTTTGCCGTGATTTGGTTTTTTAGCATCTTGGTTGTACTCTAAACATTATTCAATAAAATATTGTCATTTGGCTTGAAAACAAAATGCACTTCATTTACATACTTTTCCATCTAGGTATCGTGTGATAATTGGTGTTGAAATTTCTCCACACACACACACACGAGAATGACCTATAAATAGGAGTTGGAGAGACAAGATAACACATTGAATTGAAGTAACAAAATGAAGTCCATTGTCCTAGTTTCCATTCTTGTGATTTCGGTTCTTTTCGCCCCAACAGAAGTAGGGGCTCGGCCATTAGTCGAGAGGTCTCTACTAGGTATGTATGTACACCATTTTAAGTGTTTCAGCTTTACAATTAATTGGCAAAATATTTTATATACTTATCTTCATAAGGCTGCACATGAGTCGGAGATTTGAATCCGATAAGAGCTGGAATCAGATGCCTCCCTTGATTTTAACAAATCGGATCCGATTAGAAAAGTCGAAGTCGATCTATTTAGTTAATGGATTAAATTGGGATATATGACGATCTGATCCAATATCCAATCCGTTATTTATGAAATATTATAATTATATTTTTTTATTATGATTTGCTATTGACCTAATCCAATCTGATTTTGTTTATTCATGTTGTATGCTACAGAAAAGGCTGTTACGCCCGTAACTCGTATCCCTAATCTTCCATTTTGTGACAAACCTGGTAGACCGTACAAGTCTTGCCTCTCTCCTAGAAACCAGCCTCCCAAGTGCGGCAGCATCTATCAATGCGGACCATCAGCACCTCGCTCTCCTTAAATAGTTTATGGTCTCTGATGAGTTCATCAGATGTATTTGGAGAAGTGGTTGGTTTAATGATGTAAGCTACTTAAGCTATATAGTATGTATCGGTACAAAGAATAAAGGATCAAATTAAAGGTAGGTAGATTTTGTGTTTTATTTCTCTCCTCTAGATCTTCTCCCTTTTTACTTTTCATCCCTCCAGTTGTATGTGATCGAAATTATCAACAACAGTGAATTGAAGATTATGTATTACTTGTTTTTATAATCCTCTTTTATTGAGCATAAAAGACCTTGATAAGAAAATCAAGATAATGGGTTTTACTCTTTCCCTGGAAGATGCAAAATTGGACTCAACTTTGAAGATTCAGTTCATCGATCCAAATTATCAAATTCACCTCCTGACCTACGCAGTCAATGGATGCCTTGTGCATTTTTCTGTATGGTGTGATGCATAATTGGGTATCTTACAATCTCAAATAGCACAGAGAAATTCTCAAAATTGGACCACTTAAATCACAGCAACAAGAAAGGTTCATACTCATACCACAAATGCAAGAGTTTTGAGAGAACCATTTGAAAAGATGTGTTGAAATTAACCAAGATCACAGAGAGAAAGACACAACGCAGTCAAATCAGTATTAAATTATACACATATGAAATAGCTGAGAGTGTTTAAATTATTGGGATGCCCCTTATATGTCCATATATTATCTGCCCAAATCAGTGGCTTTGTAGAAACACATAAGAAGAAAAGGAAAGACTCGAATTTTGAATCAAGGATGAATAAGGAAAAACTGCTATATATATAATTTCGAAATTAGAATTCAGGCAGCTTCGTAGGCAAAAACTTCAGAAATCTTATCTAGATTTCACAAAATTTGTGGACCCATGTTCGTCAAGCAGCCAACTTTATTTTCCAGATTTTACTATTCCGAAGGACCCTTCAGCATCATTTATGTCTTTCTAGAAAAGGACGCTTCCATAGTTCCATTACTTTTATACTTTTTTTCCTAGCTAAAACTCCACCTATTATTTGTGGCAAGAATGATAATTGGTAAACCATACTATAGTCTAATATTCCTAAAAAATCACGTGTATATATATATATATATATATTCCTTAATTAATTCAATATATTATCTATAATCATGGTTTTTAAAATCAGACCGGACCGGACAGTCAGACTAGAAAATAGGAAACAGTCAGATGATCATTTTCGTTTTACCTCGGAATTATTATTTTGCAAAAAATCATTGATTTGGTTAACAAACAGCTGACCCGGGCATTCGAACTCTTCAAGTCGTCCAATGATTTTGCCGTTTTTTATTTTTTCGTCCGAATGGACCGTCCGTTCAATTTGAACAGGCCATCCATTATGTTCGAATGGTCAAATCATTCAACTTGGGAACTGGACCCCTGATCGGTTCTATGTCTGGTTTGGTTTTAAAAACCTTGCCAATAATAGCTCCCTCTTTCTCCCCACCAAAGTTGGGAACCAGTCACCTAACTGGTTTCGTTTTCCCCTAAAACTGTTTTTTTCTCCAAAACCATTGATTTTAGTCAGCAAACCGCTGAATTCGCCGATTACTTAATTTACACTAATTAATTTATTAAATTTTTTACTAAACCTTTAATTTATTAGGTTGCTTAATAAAACTTAGGTTGTTTAATTAACAAAATTACTTAGGGATGACAATTTTCCTCATCCTCATTGGGTACTCGACCTCCTTGACCCAATGGGGATTAATAGGGTAGGGACAGGATGAGGGTGGGGATGGGGATGGGGATGGGGTTAATAGGGATTCCTAATTGGGGATGAGAGTGAAGTCCCTACCCTTCCCCAACCCGGATTATATATATTTACATTTAATATACATCAAAATATATTGAAAACTAATATTATTTATATTTTAAAAATTTCCTTTATTTTAAGTGAATCTATTTTTCAAAAATACTTTTAATTAAAAAATTTAGTTAACTTTAATTACATAATTAACAGTAAATTGGTTAATTTTGTTATCTTAATTAAAGAATGAAAGAAAGGGTGTTGAATTGACAAAATGGGAGTGGTGGGAAGAGGAAGGGAGAGAGAGTTAGGGAGGAAGGGGGTTTAGAGAAAGAGTTTGGACCACCCACCTGAGTGGCTGTAGATCCATGAGAATTGTTTTGACTTCTTTCAATGGTGGATTACGTCTTCGATTTTGAAAAACTGTAGAAATATAATAGAAATTAATAAACTAATAAGAATAGAATAATAAAAATATAACAAAATAATAACTAATTAAAATTTACGATCACCCCACCCGTGAGGTAAAGCCTGAACTAGAATTGAAGGATCTAATTGATGGAACCCATTTTACTGACTATAGTTAAAATGTCAAGATCATCCATTTGGCACATGGGCCACTCGTTGGAGAGGAGAAAGACTACTTCTGGTGATAGATTGCCCAATTTCTACACCTTTTCATGTTCTCTTCTATGCAAGGACGGAGGGGAACACCATCAACATCAACATATGGAAGATTTGATCCTCCATAGAAAGATGCCAAAACATTTCTCATGGGTCTATACCATTCAAATGGGTGGTCCAAACACTTTAGCACATCATATCTGACCACCGGATTCGAACAATTGAGCCTGTAGTCAATGATGCTTAAATTTAGGGGGTATTCTTTTTTTTTTTTTTTTTTTTTTTTTTTGAGAGGGGGAAAAGTTGGTCAAAGGGATTTTAATTCTCCTTAATCAAGAAATTCATGTTTATTTTTAGATTTATGTGGGAACCAGTGAAAGTTTATTTTCCTAGGTAAATTAACTTTACCATCTAGAGAAAAATTATCAATAATTGGATGGGACAAAAATATCCCTTTTAATAATTAAATTTTTATGGTTAAGATGGTCATTGCCTTATTTAAATGGGAAGAAAAAAAGAACATAAGTAAATACAATTGTCCGAAAACTATTTCCTACCAAGTAAATCTTTCCTAGGAAACACTTACTCGAACAAATGACCGAAAAGCAAACGGAGCATAATTATCAAATTTCAACACTTGAACAACCATGCCTACATACAAAGTTTCATGTATAACATCCAAAATTATAATTATTCTCCCTAATGAAAAATTTTATTTCCTGTTCATTATTGAAATTTTGGATGGTTATTATTCATCAAGACAAAAAGACAACAAAGCCGCCTGGAGTTCTCTTTCATTTCACATAGTGTTTGAAATAACAAAATGAAGGCCGTTGCCCTAGTTTGCATCCTTCTGGTTTCAGTTCTTTTGACCCCAAGAGAAGTAGGGGCTCGGCTACTTGTTGAGAGGTCTCTCCTGGGTGAGTACACCATTATATTTCATTTTATTTAGACGATGAACAGTGATTTCAAGTGTTTAAGCATTAATTACAATTAATTGGCAAAACATTGATATGTTATAGAATTAGGCGGTTGTTCCATGCATTAATTACGTTATATTTGATTCATCCATAGTAAAGATTAAAGAAGATTTTGGTTTCTAACCTGCCACTACTTAATTATCATCATGATCTTAATTAATTATTAATTAATTTATTTATATTTATTCATATTCTACCGAAAAGGATGCTAGCATCATTATCGGTACACCGGCGCCTAAACGTGGTATTAATTGCGGCAAGAAGGGTTCTCCGTACAGGTCTTGCCTCCCAAAACATCCACCTCCGACCAATTGAAGGGGCATCTATGGTTGCAGATCACCTCCCACCCCTTAATTAAAATATTGACTATTACATATCTTATTCTATCAATTCACCTATAAGCTACAACCAAACAGTTTGGCCGTCTACCGCCTTGTTGGGTTATCATTAACAGTTTGGCCGTCTTCTTTCTTCTCTATCATCTCTCCACAAAGTGATTCATATTACCAAGGATGAATGTTATGTATTGCTTTTGTTATTTTTCTAATATAATGCTCAGCTACATGTTGTTATGGTGCTTGCTTTTCATCTCTCATGATTAATAAATAAAAGATCTCAATTACTAAAAAAGCAAAAAGAATCAAAGGCCATGTTTGATAGTTCTTAAAAATATGTGTTTATTTGAAATAAGTGTTTATTTGGGTGAGGACCATATCACTAAGTACTTATTTGTGTTTGGGAAAATAAGTCTGAAATAAGTACTTATTTTAAAAAATAGGGGATTATATTTTTAAGCCCAAATTTTCAGTTTTTTTTTTTTTTTTGAAGTGCTCGTACAATAAGCACTCATTCAAATTTTTTCTCCCATATTGTCCCCGGTAAATTTTTAGAATACTAATTATGCCCTTTTATAAAAACAATTTTGTAAAAGCACTTTTATAAAAGTAATTTATGAAATGTACTTTTACAAAAGTAAAGTATTTTTATGAAAATGCTTTTATGAATGCACTTTTACAAAATCACTGTTATAAAAGTACTTTCATGAAAGCACTTTCATAAGAGCACGTCTGTGAAAGCACTTCTAGGAAAGTACTTTTACAAAAATATGAAAGTAATTTTACAGAAGTACTTTATAAAAGTGTTTTTATAAAAGTACTTTTACAAAATGACTTTTATGAAAACATTTTTATAAAAGGACTTTCATCAATTTATTTTTATTCATTCACTTTAGACTGGGTATTTGGAAAATTTAAAAAAAAAGATGTATCTAAGTGCTTATTAGAGTAAAAAACCACTAAACCCCAATATGAAATAAAATTAAGCACTTGAAAAAGCTGAGTACTAAATGCAAATAATTACTTATTCGAATAAATACTTCTTTTTAAACACTTACTTTTAACATAAACACTCCCAAATCATGTTAAAAGATATTAATATATAATCAACTTCTTCTATATTTCACAAGTACTAGCTACCACCAATGTTTTATCAACACTAAGGTTAGCTATGACATCCATTTATATGAACTGGTCCACATCGTTTGCTGCAGAGTGCATGCATTTAATGCATCATAAATTTTGTCAAATACAAAAAATGATTATGAAATTACAGAAAACATGAACGATCCATCTGATGAGACCTTCAAATTGAAATGATCAAAAACACAAAATAATCTGTTTGGGATTTTCTTATTATTCGACTGAGTGAGCATATTCTTGATGCTAGGGCTGTTCATAAGAAGGCTCAACCCGATCAAACCGACCAATCTGAACCAACCCAACTTGAATCAGCCGGGTTTTCATCGGCACGGGTCGGTTTCGGGTTGTGCAAATTCCTAAACCGATGATTCTGGTTGATTTCGGTTTTCACACAAGAAAA